ACCCTGATGGTTAGGCAAGGCCTGGCTAGTTGAAAAAAAAAAAAAAAAAAAAAAAAAAAAAAAAAATGTGCTTTGCCTATAAAAAAAAAAATAAATAAAATAAATATATGTTTGATTACAAGAAAAAAAGAAAACTGTATATTTAAAAAAACAATTTTCTTTAGTATTTTACTGTATACTTGAATTAAGTTTAATTACATGTATCTATTTAAAAAGCAAAACATAATAGAAATGATGCATTTAGGAAAAAATCATAGGTTTAAAATAAAATTAATGTAAATTTTATTTTAATTGTAATTACAATATTGTATTAAAAATAACGTTATTTAGTATCAATTCCAGATTGCTTTAACGCTTAAAACTTTTATTATTATGAAACTTTATACGATTTTGAAGATTCTAAAAAGAAGTAACAATATTCGTAAGAAAACTTGCATTTTTGCAAAATTCACGCGTTCAACGCGATAGTAGCACTAATTATTTATCACGTGCAAAAATTGTACCATTTTGGAGTACAAAGATACGATTGGTGAAATGTTATGCGTAGATCGTACATATTTGTACGCGACTTGAGATTTTGAACTGTAACTCTTACTACTTGAATCGTCTAACAAAGATGTCACAAACTATGGACATTGATCTCATAAACGAAGCTAATGCGTTATCCAAGTCTGAGGAAAGCGATAATCCTGAAGTACCCGTGGCCCAGGAAAGTGATCAATCAGAAACACCCGTGGTACGCCAGTTCTTATCTCCCAACTTTTATACTCGAACGTTCTACGTTTCCCGCTTATATTTGTAAAAAACAATGCAGCACACATCTGCTATGACGCCCACCGACGAAAATGTAATGGCCGATGTCAGAGCTGACCAGGTGTCAAGTACGTCTGAAGTGGAGTCGGAAAATGTGTGTTTCAATACTTTCGTTCGATGTCTGTAATACTTCGCGTTACTTTTGAACATAACCATGTGGAAATTTTTCAAAGGACTCGACAAATTCAGTTGAATATAAAAAAGATAGCATTCGGAAGGAAAGGAAGACTCAGAAACTAACTTTCGAACAGGATAACAAAGATCTAAATCAGAATAAAGTGAAGAGCAGTTTTATTTTACTTATCTTCTTTACTTATTTTGTTCGTATTAACATATTATTACTTATTATTAGATTAGGGACACTGCAAAACGTTTTCAGTTTCTGCTTGGTCATTCGGGTATGCAAAATAATTTATTTCATTGCATATTATGTATGTAATTTAAATCATATTCATTTATTTATATTTTTTTTAGAGTTGTTTTCACATTTCATTGACCTAAAGGTAAATATGGATTTTGCATTTTTTTTTCTCGTGTTCGATCATGATTTTACCGTATAACAAAAAATATCTAAATATCCATACAGAAATTAAAAGATAAAGAGTTCAGAAAGCTTGTCGAGGAGACAGAAAAATTTAATCATTCTATTAGAGAAGATATCGGGTAATAATTGTATAATTGGTATTACAGGTTTTTGAAAAAATGTACAATATTGGTAACGGTTACATGTTTGATCTATATTGTATCAGATCGAAACGACATCGGAGGACGGAGAAAGAAGAGGACGAGGTCTGCCTCTTAAATGATATTATAATATTTTCTAAAAGTAAATCTAAAATTTGGAAATTTAACAGGAATTACTTAAAGATGAGGCGGACGAGTCGGCGGATGTTACTCGGGTTTTCAATGAATCACCGAATTGTGAGTTTCTGTTAAATAGGTTATATTCTACCCAATATACATATTTACTTATTACACTTATTTGCGAAGATATCAAGAATGGTACTATGCGAGATTATCAGCTTCAAGGGCTAAATTGGATGATATCACTTTTTGAAAATGGGATTAACGGGATCTTAGCAGACGAAATGGTATGTTAAATCATATGTTTGTTTGACTCCCGGTTGAGCTTCCAAAATGTTCTAATTTTTTTGTTAAATATAGGGCCTCGGTAAAACCTTGCAAACTATTTCTTTTCTAGGCTATCTTCGTTATTTTCGTAACATATCTGGACCACATCTCGTTGTCGCGCCTAAATCAACATTGAATAATTGGTCGAAAGAATTTAATATGTGGATGCCAGACTTTCGTATAGTAGTCCTACTTGGGAACAAGGAAGAAAGGGTATTTATCCAATATCCATATATTGTGACTTATGATGTATTACTAAAAAATTTTCATTAATAAAGGCGCAGATAATCGCGGATAAGTTAATGCCTAAGGATTTTCAAGTTTGCATAACATCTTACGAGATGTGCTTAATTGAAAA